CTGTTAGCCTGGACAGTCTGACTACTCCATTGTCCTTTTACGATGCCTATTGCCCTATTGGGTGAAACAACTTATGTGAACTGTGACTAGCAGCCATAGTTAGGAAGGGACAGGGTCTCAGCATCTCAGCACAACTAATAAAGGCTTATCTTCCTCCGGAATTACAATTTCGGCAGAGGGGATTAGAAAATTCTTAAAAGTTGTTTTTTTTTTTTTTTTTTTTTTTTTTTTTTTTTGTCCAGCTCTGCTTTAGCATCTGAGGTTAGGAAACCCACACATACCTCTCTCTGTCCTAGCTACAGTTTACCACTGGAGGTAGGGAATACATGCAACCGTTTATCCCTGATCTGCTTACCATTTGAAGTTAGAGAGCCTGCCCACACTCAGCCTTAGCTCTGGAGTTGGCTACCTGAGGTTGGGAGTATACTCAGACTTCAGCCACCAATTTCTAGTCATCATTTGAGGTTTGGAAGTGCATTCTGATGCTGGCCCACATAGCACATGGCCCTACTAGCCCAGGGCATCAGCCAAGACACACAGTCCCACACCCAGTCTCCATTCATCTCTTGTTTCTCTCCCCAACTCTTCCTTATTTATATAAAACCCAACGTCTATGTGGCAGACCCCGGTAGTTCCTGGTTTTTGTTTGTATCCTCCATATCCCATTATCTTTCCTTGTCCTCTCCCAAAGTACACAGACTTGCCCATTCACAGGGTCTGTAGCGCAGCCTCCTGAAAGATGACTGCTTTTCACCCCTCTCTTCATCCACCATCAGTTACATTCCTGTGGCTCACTCCTTCCTTTTTGCTTTGCTTCTGCCATTGCCCCTCCCGTCTGCTGTGCCTCTAGTTCCTATCTAGCAAGTGAATACTATTTAATCTTTCTAGCAACTAGTACTAATTCTCTTTTCTAATTTTTTATTCATGGTCACAATAAATGATATTATATAATATATAATTATATATAACAATATAACTTTAGAAAATTAATTGGGAGTTGCTCTTTAAATGAGAATTTATACAATAATTTAGAAACCCTAGCCTGAGAATTTGTCAAAAAAACTGTATACGCAAGTCCAGAGACTTGTACATGAGTATTTATTCTGGTATCACCTGGTTTTATGCTAAGATGACAGCTAGTCTTATACTCCACAGGCTTAAACATAATCTAAACAAGACTTATCTTTATGTCTGATACCAGCTTTCCTTGTCAGCAAACAGGTCACTTGAAATTTAAATCAACTTTAAACTTGTGGCAAGAAATCAATCCCACAACCTTCTCAGGGGCTTTGAAAGTTCAATAGAGTGAATTCAGAATTCAGCAAGACACATTGCCTATGACTGTACTATTACTATAATGGAAACAATTAGGACCAACCGAAGAAAGAGGTGGTCTTAGAGGTTGTGCAACAGAGTTCCAGGGGACTTTCTGTGCTATCAGGTATGATGATGGGTGAAATACAGCAAAGCCCAAACAGAATCACATGTGCTAAGATTTTTCCATCACCAAACTGAAACCTAAGCTGTTGACCTTCATAGAGATGAGGAAATGACAGCTAAATCCAGTGAAGCCAACAAGATTCTCTTTATATCTTATAAAAATACCCAGCCCATTGCTTCTGCTCCAATCTCCCCCTCTGCTTTTTGTTGCCTATAAACCCTTCCTCTCTGCAGTCCACTGGCACTCCTTTGGAGTTTGCTGACAGGATGGTGCCTGGTTCACGGGTCATTCTAAAAAGGCAACTCAATCTTGGAATCTAAATTTGTTGATATCTTGTTCTTTGTATTCATTATGCACATTTAATGTGTTCTCCAATCATATAAGCATGCTGGTCTATCCAGACTTCTTATTGGAGTTTCATTCCCATGTCATAGTTGATTGGTCACTACTGAAGGTCAACCTTCATCTCTTTCATGGATGATCTTTCTGGAGAATAGCTCCATCCTAAGTCATCTCTTGATAATTTTTAATTTATTTATTTGCATTCCAAGAGTTCTTCACCTTATCCCCCTTTGCCTTTGCCTCTGAGAGGGATTAACAGGACACACTTGATATCCAGGAAAATTTAAAAAAATCATTACAAAAGTAGCAACTTCTTCAGTTATGACTACCAAAACTGTCTACTAAATACTAAGTCCTGTGGCAAGTACAAGATACTTCCTTTTGAGTTTTAGACCACAGAGAACTCAGTCTAACCCCACCACAACCACACACACACCAATATAAGTAGTTACTATTGTTGTAAGTTGCCCACTAGAACGAGATACAACCCTACTGCTTAAGATACCACATACTTTAGTCACAGAACATAGAGAAATCAAGCAGGAGCTGAGCTGGAAACTTGTCCCCTAGCTTTTATAGTGCTCAAAGGTGCTATTATACAGACTAATGGAAAAGTCATTAATGGTGTTAGGAAACTGTGAGCCCTGAAAATACAATATTAACCTGCCAGGAAAGATGTGCGTCCACTGGTGCAATAGTGGCCATGACTATTACAGGGGTAACCAATTGCTTCCTTGTAGGATTCCAGGCATGCTCCACAAGAGGGGATTCACACCTGGTACTGCTATCTCATCAAAACTCCATGAATGGCCGGGAAGGTCACAGGCCCTAGATGGAGCCTACTACTGTTATTTTCCTATATGAACATGTAAAACTGGCTTCTAAACACTTTTGTATTTACTGACAGATTGCTACTGCGCCCAGCCTTGGTTAGAGAAGTGCTTCTTGCAGTTGGCAGTGGTTATTGTATACACTTATTACTGGTGATACTGGGAGTGACTGTTCAGTGCTTAGACCTAAATGTGATATTTGTATTACCTCCTTCAAGGCTCAGGGAACATCACAGAAGAGGAGGCTGAAAATATTTAGGAGTCCAAGGATGAGAAAGGGTGCTATGAAAAGCTGTCTTCTCAACATGTCACAGCTTGCTACATTCATGAACTCACACCACCAGTGGTTACTTGTACAAGCCTTACAATGTGTACCCATCAATCCTATCATGGAGGCGGGGCTCACAAAGCCCCACCCAGCTCTTCTAAGGAGCTACAGGAAGGAAATGGTTACTAGGGAACTAGGATGTTCCTCACTGGAAGCTGTTGGTTAAGTAGTCCTTGCTCAGGAAAGTAAACCCCATCCATGGTCATCCAAGTGACCCCATTCAAATACAGTGAGTAATAAACAAGCCATGAGAGAAAAAGAGAAAGTTATCAAAAAGAGAAGGGGGGCTGACAGAGTAGGAAGGATAAGTGAGGTAATGATGGAAGGACATCTCAGATATATTATACATGTATTCAAGAAATGGCAGGTCTAGAGGTATTCTTAAATACTCTGTGGGGATAAAATATCTTCCAGCTTAGGAGAAAAACCACTGAATATATTTTTAAAAATATTATCAGAATCTTAAAATCCTTTGGGGATACAAACAACTTTCTTTTTCTTTTATTGGATATTTTATTTACATTTCAAATGTTATCCCCTTTCCTGGTTTCCCCTCCAAAAACCCCTAACCCATACCCTTTCCCCCTACTTCTGTGAGGTGCTCCCCGCCCATCCAGCCACTCCTGCCTCCCCACCCTGGCATTCCCCTACACTGGGGCATCAAGTCTTCATAGGACCAAGGGCCTTTCCTCCCACTGATGCCTGAAAAAGCCATCCTCTGCTACACATGCAGCTGGAGCATGTGTACTCTTTTGTTGGTGGTTTAGTCCTTGGGAGCTCTGGGGGGTCTGGTTGGTTGATATTGTTGATCTTCCTATGGGGTTGCAAACCCCTTCAGTTCTTTCAGTCCTTTCTCAAACTCCTCCATTGGGGACTCTGTTAGTTCAATGGTTAGCTGCGAGCATCCACATCTGTATTGGTCAGGCTCCGGCAGAGCCTCTTAGGAGACAGCTATAACAGGCTCCTGTCAGCAAGCACTTCTTGGCATCTGAAATAGTGTCTGAGTTTGGTGACTATATATGGGGTGGATCTCACCGTGGGGCAGTCTCTTTGAACCACTTAATCAGTGTTAGAATGTCAGTACTCAAATTGGGCTTTTCCATAGGAAAATAAAACCAAGTTTTACATGATTAGAAAGTTTAATATTGCTATTCACTTTAGAAAAACTGTCTATGGTTATTTTAAATAAAAATTATCAAACATATAATTTATCCAAATATTCTATTTATTATTACCTAAACTTCTTCAATATATACATCTCAAATTACAAACACTTTGCATTTTATTTTAAAACAGAATGGTATGGGCATTCTTCTTGCAGTTATGTGATAATATGTGTATCTTGACTTCCTGTAATCCAGCCTTTGAGACCATTACTTTACACCTTTTTCCCACCTACTTTTCTTTGCCAGAGTTGAGCTGCCAAGAATGCTTAGGCTAGCAAACTTTCCCACTCCTGTTTTTGCTGAGTATTAAAAATTTTTGGTTGTCTTTAAATTACAGCAATCCTACTTAGGGTAACTTGTTTATGTCAATTTGTCTCCATTAAATTTAAGATGACCTGCTGATTGTGGTGGTACACACTTGTAAGAGTGCTCAGAGGCTAGGAAGTGGGAGAGAGAGGCTGCCCGAATCACAGAGTGAGTCCATTGCAAATATTTCATGCTCATGTGATAGTTCTACCTAAGCCTTGAGTTGCCTGGAGATGCTGGTAAGTTTTGTGATGGACTGCTTCTGTATTTCAGTATTTACGTATATTTTGCTGGTTAACACTAAGCATCTGCGCATAATCTGGTTGTCCTTTCAATGGAACTTTTTCAATACTCAAGTCAAACTTCTCGATGTGCTACAGATTACTATGAAGTCACCAAGTTCCACATAAGCTGAAAGCACTCTCTCAAAGGTGCCAGCTCGTTCCAGATCACATATTCATTCTCACTGGAGAATAAACACTATAAAACCAGAGAAAACTGCCTCAAGTCTTCAAAACTACAGAAAACAAATTTCATTGCTTCCATAAGTCACTATATGTTTTTCCCCCATTACTCTATCTTTTCAGATCCGTTTTTGCACCTGATTGAGGCTGAGAGATGGTGAAGAGTCTATGCCAACTGCAAATACAAGGACTAAAATTACACGTGCGAAGACTACACTTCAAAGAACAAAAAACCAGCTTTTCATTTACATTCACAAATACATGCACACACACTCACATGCATGCATGCACATGCACGTGCGTGTACACTCGACTGTGCTTTGTACAACTGCCACCCATAGATCAAAGATTGAAGAACAAACTTACCAATTTGGTGTAGGTGACAGGTTTCTTCCTAGCAAGCACAAAGAATACTTCTCTTGATCGGATTTAAAAGCTCACAATACTTTGTAAATAAGCCAAACACAGACCATTTCGCCACTTACAGAAGAAACTGATAAAGGCTGAAAGACGAACACCTGAATCCTGCACGTGTGACCAGCTGTTGCCTGAGATATCAGGCCGAGGAACAACACAGACATGAGTGCTTGTTGGCAGATCAAGCTCCAAAGAATGGCTTCTAAATACTGCTTCTATCAATTGGGGGGAAAAAGCAGCTTTGCACTAATCAAAGCCAGAACCAAGTTTAGCAAGACCTAGAGTCTAAGGGGGACAGAAACCAGAGCCAGCACGGCACAGGATTCATCACTGGAAGTGACTGAATTGACCTGGGGGCCAATGAGGGGCATTTAGTAGTACCATCATGTGGCATCTCAGTAGGACTTCCACTTACCGAAAGAACTTTTGGGAAATGTGTTTTTAAATTCACCTTCATGTAAATCTTTTCTGCCATGTTTCTCTACTTGAGGGTGTAGATACTCCAACACTGAAAATTACAGCAAAGTAATTTTCAGGCTTTAGAAGGACTCAAAACAAAAAGGATACTAGATATTTGAAAGAAAAATGCCCTCTGTAAATGCCACTGTTACTTTGTAAAATAAGCAGCTAACCTAGGAAACAAATGATCAATTTTCTCATATAATTATTTGTCTCACACCTTCATGTGCCTTGAAAAACCTATTTTCTTTATGCCTGTGACACGGCTATCACCTGAAGGTAAGGAAAAATGCTTGCTTTTTCTGCCTTCACCCCACCCTACTTAAAGCAGGTTGGAATCCACTTACCTCTCTTAGGGAAACCACAAGCCTGCAGGTCTTCTCTCTTTGAGTAAAGACACTCCGTTTTGTTGTCATGATGGCTGTCACATGTAGAATACAGCACGAATCTGTGTTGAGAAGCCAGACCATCTAGGGCTGGTTGTTTTAGTGCTTCCCAGTTGTGAAACTTTGGAGAACCTGTTGGGAGCCAACTCCTAGCGGCTAACATCTTTGCAGCCATCTCAGGCCATATATCCTGACAAGAGACTTGTTTTCAACAGCCCACAACAGCTGAGCACACTCTGATAAACATCTTATTTTTCTCACATATCTTGTTTTGCTGTTTAGTGCCCTCAGCTGCAAGGGGCACGTGGTATCTACGCTGCAAGGCACGTGGCAAAGTGCCTTCGGCTGTGTTCCCCTGCCTGTCCACGAGGGCAGGGCACATGGTAAAGCATGTAAATACCCAGAATTTCCTTTCAATAAGAGACTTGATCAGACTCTGTCATGTCTCCATTCTTTGCATCTCTCGCCCCTCCATCCCCACTCTCTCTCTTGCTAGACCCTGACCCGCGGACTGGAGCAGCAGAACCGGCTGTTAGACAGTGGCCCCCGAACGTGGGGCAGAACGGGTGGTTACAAGAACCAAGTCCCATCTATAAACTGGAGTAAGCTAAATAGTCCTGAAAGCTCTTGAGGCTGCTGAGACCATCAGTGAACTGTTCACTCTGGTCATCTTTATTAGAAATGCATTAGAAATTAGAGAGCAGTTTCTGGATGTAGACCAAGAAAGCTATACATATTTTGACCAACCAAGCATATTACTGAATGTCAAATCAACAGTCTTTTAGAACAGAACATGTCTAAAATAACAGCCAAAATGTGAATTGCAAATGATATAAAATAAAACTTGCTAAGTTCTAGATCTTTGTCTTTCAGAAAAATCACCATATAATTTTATGTGACAATAAAATATAAAGTTTCTTTAAGATTTTGATAGCCAGTGGTTTTACCACATAAAAGAAAAAAATAAGCTAGTTTTAATTATTCTGTAGCTCATCTATAATCTTGGAACTTGACTGCTCAAATTCTAAATTGAAATGAAAAGTACTCAGAGACTATAAAAACAAGACTAGCGAGCAAGCATTTTTAAAAATAATACATATTGCCAAGTAAACTCAACAGAATCGTTTAATACTTTATTAGTATTTTCTAACAGACAGAACGTAACACAAACCAAATAAAAATTTTAATTTCTGTAGTTAATAAAAATAACTGACATTCTGATTCTTTCCCCTTGGTTAGAGAAGGAGAGCATTGATAGAGAGCGGTTAGGCACGATTGACACTTATGTACAATGATATGCACAAGGTAATTTGTAACAATTAAAATCCTAAAATGTGCTCTTTAGTTTTCCCTTATAACACAGGAGCCATGCTCCCATAAGCAAAAGTATTCTACTAAGAAAAGAATTTTACAAGGAGTGACAAAAAGACTTTTAAAACAAGTCCTTAATTAAGGTGCAGCAACAACAGAATGAAGTTGTTGGGTTAAGAAGACAGTTAAATTGGATTTCAAAACATTAAAAATGTAGTTATTTTACAATTACTCAAATAAACATGCATTAAATGAAAATATTGCACAAAATTAAAACTGTAGATTGTAAAATTTATGTTGTTCTTAATTTCTTTTTTTAAAAAATGGTACACTTTCATTGCACTTAACGATTTTTTCCCCAAACACCTGCAGCAAACTTATAGTGATCAAACTGTTATATTCAATAAATTTTTTTTGTTTTAAATTAAGGCTAACAAAGTGCATCCACTGGTCAATGGCACAACTGTTTCCAGCAACTACATGGAACACTCGGATTATAGAAAATACTCATCTAAGTGCTACGTTTAAGTCACACAATCAAACTGTAGGTGAATAAGCTATGATGGTTTCTTTGCAGTTTTACACTACCTGAAAAAAATATCAGAAAACCCAAAAGAATGATTAATTTTGATGGTTCTTGCCTAAAGGCACCACTGACTTAAAAGCACTCAGCAGAAGACATACAGCCTCTTTGTGTATATGTTCATATGTGCAACAAATGCACAAAATATAGTAACTTTATTAAACGTAGAACACTGTCCTTTGCTTATGGGTTAAATACTCTACACAGCTGGACCAAGCCTAGGTTATCTGTAGCTATAGCACGGCCACACTCTTCGTTGTAAAACACAGCCGTGCACAGACACGTGGCCATTTGACATTTCAGCTCCAGAAATATAAATGCTTCTCAACAAAAATTCCCTTAAAAAAAACATTTACTCAAATAGTTTTGTTTTTGCTCTTTGTTTGGTTTTGGTGTGACTGCAGTTGTCTTGCAGGGCTGTGAGAAGATCTGCAGTTTATACGACCTCTTTTTCCCCTGGTTGACAGTTTTCTCACTTTATATAGAAACACTTTTCACATGTACACACTAGGCTCTTGCAAGAATCCTTCTGTATACACTTAAATGTATTCATGTAAAAATATAATTGAAACAGGAGGCTATGTATGAAATTATTGCACTTGTGGCCATGCTGATGCTTTCTACACACTTGATGCATCCAATTTTAAGCCTGGGGCCAATGAAGGGCCAGCAGGGCAGGGGCAGGAGTACAGGAAATGGTTCTTCTGCCAGAGAAACAATCTTTCCTCACTTGCAAGTTTCGAAAAGGGGTTTTACTTATGTAATTCTGAAAGACATGCAACACATGCTGACTATGTGCATACTACACATATGCACACAGCACTGAGCATCATAAAGCTTTCCAGGAAGGCTTCCCTCTTAGTATTAGGCTTCACTGGTTAAGAAGAATCTGAGTGACAGCAAGACTAAATCCTATTCCAATCTTCTGGATTATCAATACTCTGTCCCTTTACAATAAGCACCCAAACATTCTTTAAATATCAGGATACTGGCTCAGTGGTCTGAAAAGTAGTTTCACTATTTTAAGGTTTTAGTGTTAAATATTTTTAAAACAAAAAGAGCTGATATATCTAAACCCTTAGTCATTGGAAGTATTTAAAAGTACAGAAATCCTGCATATATGGGATATGAAGACTTCCTAATGGACAAAATGGAGAGAACACTAGGAAATGCAAAGGCTTCACAACTGGAAAAGGTATTTTGTTTCACTGATATAAAATATTAGGGCGTTAAATGTATACACCAAAGGGTTTTGTGTACTAGCTTTATTTAGAATTTTACATTATGCGAAATATAAATAAAAGCATATTTTTAAAAATAGTACAGTTCTGTTTTCATTATTTATTTTCATATATGTACACACAGTAGAATTAGGCATTTGTATGTTTACATAGGACTATAAGCTCATTAATTCTTTGATTTGCTATATTGGTAGTTACCTAAGGCATGTCTAGATCATACGATTTAAAGTTATCATATGGTAACTTTCAATAGAGTACTGTTTTAATTTCCAATTTTTAGAAGGACAATGTATTTGGCAGTTCTTACAATAAATAATTTCCCTTCTATATAATCAGTAATGTTAAAAGATTAAAAAAACTTTGAACTCATAAGAGAGCTACCACATGCTTCTTCTGCACAGAATGCCAAAGGAGAAGTGGAGAGTTGAGAACCATAAGAGCAAAGCCCAGCCCTTACAGCACATAAAAAAGAAAATCAATGAACATTTCTATCAATGAATAATAAGTCCAATCAAATTCTGGGTTTGATTGGTTTTATTTTATAGTGCTTTCTTTACACAAGACTGTAATTTGGGAAGGGCTATTTCCTACACTAAGGGCATTATTTCTATCACTTTGCCCAGGCCACTTTGAAACAATTGAACAATTGTTCTAAAGATCACTCACCTGCTAACCCACATGATAGCAAAATGCTGACGACCCACAAGATCCTTGAGTGAAACAAATCTCTCCAATTATCCACTGCGGTCTACAGCTACTACAGTAGTTAGTTAAGTTACCCATGACCCATTGTTTTGTGCTTCCCTCACTCTCACACACGCTCTCTGGCACTCTGGCACTGGGAGAGAATGCTCATTAGTTTGGAACAGAAGAGACCAACTCCATTCTTGAATGAGACGGGGCAGTATCCTCTCAGTGTTGCAAATTATGCACCAAATCATGTAAGACACAGGAATCTCTCTTGGTAGTGGCTGGATTACAGATGAGAATGAGAAGAACCAGTCTTACGGATGTACTAGTACTCTGTTTTGAGACATGGAAAGACTGGTGTAGACACAGCGGTATGTGAGTCACACCCCAGAAGATCTGTCCACACCATGAGTCCTGGACAAAATGAACACCAGCTTCACAAGATGAGTGTCACCTTTTCTGTAAAGAAGGCGCTTGAGTACTTTGAAGTTTTTGTTTATATTTCTGCATTTGCTTTGACCTTGAATGAAGTTTGTTGAAAAGTTCACGAAATTTATACTGTGGAAATAAGGTTTCTAAAAAGCCTTCTAAGAAGACATACACCATTCTCCTATTTAACTGGTTGTGCTGAAACATTTCAAAAACACGAAGAATACCTTTCCGTGTTGTCTCAGCTCCAATAATGTGCTTCAGTTCATCTGAATGAAGTAGAGAAAAATACAAATATTCATTCCTCAGAAGAAGGAAATAAATACCTAAATTATGATCATAAATAAAGAATCTAAAGCATACAGCAGAGTAACTCATAAATAGTAGGTATACAGTTAACAAGCTCTGTCTAACTGGGTCTTAAAGCCTACCTAAAAATATATATATAAAATACAGCACAAGAAAGTTAGGAGCCATACTCCTAGGTTACAGATTACAGTCACAGTTCTCTCTCTTAAATCCCACTTTCTTTTCCTCACTACTGGATGAAGATTTCTAATTACCAATATCTTTATAGTTGGACAGATTTGTAAGACTAGTAAGATGCAGAAGCAATGACTGCAGCTGATTTTGTTACGTTGGCAGGCTGGGGATAGATACAAGGAAATTAAGGATTATCCCCAGTCACCAGAACATCAATAACCAAACGGGAAGTACTGAAAAAATGGTAGAACTGAGGTAAAGAAATCTGGCTGAAGTTTAGAATGCCTATTAAAGAAAGTAAACAATAGAGACATTGTCCAGACTGTTAGGGCAAGCTAGTGTGGTGCTTACATTGACAAACCAAATTATCATAGAGAGAACTATTTTGTTGTTAGAAAGAAAGAGCAAAATGTATAAGTTTACAGATATAAAATGTATAGTATTAAATAAGCAAGGCCACAGAGAGAAAAAAATCTCGTTCTCCCTCATATCTGGAACCGACTCAATAATATAAACAAAGGAACATGTCTATACTGTGAGACATGTTAAACAGTAAAGGCTAAATACCAGATGAGGAGCAGCTGAAAGCAGGCAATGTACATAAATTATGAAGGGTGATATACAGCTAAATGTTTGTCTAGTTCTAATTCTGTTGTGGAGTTTTCATTTTTTGGTGGTAAACAAATACAAAAAATTATATTCAATAGTGAAAGAACAATTATTCTAACTGTATAGAAAGTCACTGAAGTGTATAGATTCTGGATCTGGTTAATTTTGATGTATGTATTATATTTATTTGCAAATTTTTAATAACAAAAATTTTAAAAGTGTAAAAACTTGCACCTTCCAAAAAGTCATCATTTAAGCAGCGATACACTATAATTCAGCAAAAATATATGAGCCTACTACCAAGCACAGGATTAAGTATATATACAGTCACAGTTCTCATTCACATCAACCTCTGTAGGCCTTCTTCCCAGCAAGAGCTCCTCTGGCAATTCTTTCTGTAGCTGGAACTCACGCGAGGCAACGTTTCCCTCCTACTGCATTACTTTTTTCTTTAGAACTGATCACTAGCATATTAAGTTTTACTTGCTTGTTTTGTTTTTTGTTCCCTCTAAAATAATATAAGCTTTAGGAAAGTAGAGCAACGTGCGGGAATGTCTAGCACACAGCTCTATACTTTTCAAGTAAGCAGCCCCCGCTGACTCCAGAGTTCCTGCAGCTGTGCTGGGCCACAGTGTAATCTTCTTTATTATAAAGGTATATGAGAAAATAGTCTAGGTCATGGTTTCTGAAGTTTTCTAAAGTGTCATTTCTATATGGCTCCAAATTTAACCACATATGGGGAGAAAGTAACAGCAATGTGGCAGGTTTCTAATGCTCACAGCTAACCATTAAGAGGATCAAGGGGTTCCCAATGGAGGAGTGAGAGAAGACTGAAGGAGCTGAAAGGGTTTGGGTCCCATGGGAAGACCAATAATATCAACCAACCAGAGCTCCCAGAGTCTAAACCACCAGCCTGGGAGCACATAGGGAGGGACCCATGGCTCCAGCTATATGTAGAGGAGGATGTCCTTGTTGGACATAGGTGGGAAAGGAGGTCCTTGGTCCCATGAAGGTTGGACACTGAGTATGGGGAAATTATAAGGTGGGGAGGTAGAAGTGGGAGGGGGCACATCCTCATGGAAGCAGGAGGAAGGGGGATGGGATAGAGAGTTCCTGGGTGGGGGAAAAATGGGGTAAGGGTATAACATCTGAAATATAAAAAAAAAAAATGTTCAATAAAAAAAAAACCAAAAACAAAAAAGATAGAAAACTAGACACTGAAAATCTAATTTTAAGTTAGAAGAGAAGTCAGGCATATTGGCTTATGCTCACATCTATTATCCCAGAACTTGGGAGGTTAAAGTAAGACTGCACTGAGTCTAGACCAGCATGGGCTACACATGAGTATCAGAGCGCAGTCTCAGCTATAGCATGAGACACCATCTCAAAAATGATAAGAAAGAGAAGAAAAGAAACCGAGTAAAATTGTAAGAAAATGGGTAACAGATAAAAAAGCTTAAAAACTCGTCTTGTCCACTCTCTACATCCACAATTAACACAGAGGGATGTATCTAGGCACTGGTGAATAGTTACGTGCTTTTAAGATATCTGGGATCCAGTGACAAAAGTACCCTCACCATCTCCTAGCCACAAAAGCCCATTGGTCACAGGCTCTCTTTCTCGGAGGAAAAAAAAAGACAAATAAATCTATATTAATGACAGGAAGGAAGGAAGGAAGGAAGGAAGGAAGGAAGGAAGGAAGGAAGGAAGGAAAAGAGAGAGACAGAGATAGAAAGAGAGAGAGAGAAGAAAATAAGGTTGTCCCCTAAAGGATGACCTATGTGGTTCCAGGTCATATTCATATTTCTATTAGCTCATTCATCTGTCATGTTTTCTTTACATAATTCTCAATTAATATTTTAAGGCAGTAGAGTAGGTTTTAATCATCCAAAGATGAATCAGAATCCTGCTACTCACTAACTACAAATCTTGGGTAGGGGACTTTGAGCCTGAAAGTTAAAATAGTGACTTGTTTCAAAGGACTTGTTAGGAGGATTTGTTAGAATACATGAAAAACACCTACATAGCCCTTGGTAGATAATAAACCATCATTTGGTGGTCATTATAATAATAAAAATGAGCTAAATTAGCATAGTATCAATGTCAAAAGTCAGAAGAAACACAAATAAATCAAACTTTAATCAAATGTGTTCACTCACCTGGCATAATTGCAAATAATTTTGTTTTTCCTGCAATTCTTGTTCTCATTCGAATAGCCTTATCTCTGCATGGAACTGTCTCTGCTAAAATGCCATTGGGCCAAAATGCATCTCTATTTAAGAAAATGAAACAATGTTAGTGAGCAGTTTCATTTGTCTAATGATACTAGTTGATGACAAACTGCTAAAAAAAATAAAATATTAAACCAGAGACAACATTTCTAAAATTTCATTTAGACAAATAACAAACAGCATCCAACAGCAGGGTTCAATTTAGGGGTGAAGGAATATATACACAAAAAGTAGCAGATAAATTCTGCCCCTTGTACTTCACAAATACTAGTAAAATGGGATTATATGGATCAGCACATGATGGGCATTTAAACTTAAAAGTGGGACCTGTTAAGTGAATATCTTACCCAAATCTACTCATAGCACCCTGAAAGTGAACAGCCTAGCATCTTAACAGCTCTTCTCTCTTGGCTATGCCATTCCATTCTCATCCTATCTAACTCAGCCAGCCAAGAATCTCTAGTTGATGTCTACAGTGTATCACACACAATCAATTCATTCTCCTGGACTCCGATCCTGCTTCTTATGGGTTGGTTCACAGGTACCTGTACTCAACAGGTTTGGAGGAATAAGACTCTATAGGCCATGAGAGTTGTTCAACCTGTTGACAGGGACATCAGATGTGCTAAGCCCCTCCCATTGCTATCTGGGCCACTGGTTGGACATGCTTGCAGAGAAATTATCTTAACATGCCCTAGAAACACTTTGGGTATCAGGAAATAAAACCACCTATTGTGCAGACTTTCTACCTGTTAAACCAACCCAATCATCTCTGGAGAAAGAATCCACGGAGGGGTAAACTTTGCAGTTGAGTCCAGTCTACAGTCAAGGCTGAGAACCACTGAAACAGAATTCAACTGCCCTAACTGAAATGAACAGGCCAGAGCAGCTAGTCCAACTTTTGGAAACAATGGAGTCTAAAAGGGAGAAACTTTGCTTCTGAGCATAAATCGAATTCCCTTCTTCCTGTCACCAGAGTCTTTGGGCAAACTGTTTTTCTTCTGCAACCCTCTGCTGCCTCCCAACCAAATGAAGACAAGCTGCTTACCTGAAGAAAAGGATAGAAGGTTAGAAAGCACATGGAGCTCAAGGAGAAGCAACTTAGAACAACAGACAGCTGCTTTCTCGCTCCTTCCTGACAGCCAGAGTACAACATCAGGAGGTCCTATGCATGCTTATCTTCACATTTACAAATGGAGTTTACTTCTCGTTGACTAGCTGTGCTTCAACTTCTGATCCTCTTGCCTCAATTCCAAACCTCACCACGCCCAGCTTTCTAATACTGCCAATAATTTCAAAGAGATTCTATGGAATAAAAATCTAGCCCATCATTTTAGAAATGTTTCCTTTGTGCCTTTGCTAATCTAAAAAAAAAAAAAAAGAAAGAATAGTCCTACAGAACAAATGGGTATGTATTTGTAATTACCATGTGTGTACATGCACAGTGTATATATCTGTGTGTGGGGATTGGGTACATGGGCCACAGGGTATGCATGGAGGTCAGAGGATAACTGCATAGGGGTTGATTCTCTCCTTCCATCTTTAGGTGGATTCTGGGATCAAACTCGGGTTGCAAGGTTCATGTGCCAAGTGACTTTACCATCTGAAGTTTCTCAACAGCCCCAAATCCTTATGATTCTCATAAGTCTTTGCTCATCACACCCAATGTTAACCAACAAAGGCCATTAGGTAATAGTTGAATGGGGACAGCAAGGCTAAAGTCTGCACTACATGGAAGAAGTGACTGTCGGTAGACATACCTGAAACGTTTCACCGAGTCAGCTACTTGTTCCGGTGACGTCATCCAGTCAACATGGTCAACTATTTTTCTGAAAGTAAAGGATTTTGAATGAGTAAGCTTAAAGTCTGTAAGGCAAGTAAAACTGACACACGTTTCACAGAGTAACACTTTCATTTGAAGACAAACTGAAATCTAATGATCAAGAAGAGATCTAATGATCTTTAAAAGCCCGGAGAAAAAAAGTCCATAATCAAGGCCTAGCAAGTCATTTTCAGAATTAAAGTCTACTCATCAGCGGGCTCAAAGCAGAGGGGCAGGAGACACAGTTACCTGTTAATAGTATCACCATACGTAGCTCTAATAAGCTGCTGGAGTAAGTTCTTGATATTCCTTCTCAGCCACTGGTTTCTCTCTTTTAAGTCAAACACCTCATCCATTAGAAGCAGCATCACCCTTAGTGGAATATTGTCATCCACCTGAAAGAAAGAAGAAAAAAGACAATATGTGACACTACAGCCTCCAAAAGCTCACATTACATAGTAATTCAGTAAAAGGTATTTCTAACAGCTACTTTTTAGGGGATCTAAAATGTTACAATCCTACAATGTAAATTCTTAGGCTGTAGTTTTAAAAAAGCTTCTCAAGTTGATTCCTGATAAGTCTTATAGAAATATGACTTAGGTCTAACTTAGCAGTCTCGTAATGAAATGCTAAAATTGAGAATTATTTTCTGGTAATATTTTTTTCATTTGAATAAAATTATTTGGCCGGGTGGTGGAGGTGCATGTCTTTATTCCCCCCACTCAGGAGGCGGAGGCAGAATTCAAGGCCACCCTGGTCTACAGAACAAGTGCCAGGGCAGCCAGGGATACACAGAGAAACTCTATCTCAAAAAAAAGAATAAAAAATCCTTGTTATCTATAGTTAACAGATGAAACAATGAAAAATGATTTGCTTAATTAAGATGTTTATGTATGTAACATATATATATAAAACTTTTCAGAAAAATAAGCTAAATTACAACCCAGTAAATAATTAAACTAACATATTAAAGTATGTATTTTTATGAAAATTGTTATGCTTTAATTGGTATAATTAATATTATGTTATTAATGTTAGCATACTTGGTAAGTGGGTAGAGTTAGTTAGTAAATGACTAGAAACTTAAACTAATTTAATAAGTACTAATTTAATTAGTACATTTAATTATATTCAGCATACAAACTAATAAACTAATATACTTTATATGGGCTTTTCATCTCATATTGCTGTGTCTGGGTACTTTCTGTCTTACTGGTCTTCTGTGGTTTCCAATTTTGTGTTTTTATGATTTGGGGGTTTTGCGCATGTGTATCTTTCTTGAATATTTTCTTGTTTTAAAAATGGTTTTCTGTTTGTTTTCTAATGAATAGGGAAGTGGGTTGTGGAGTTGAGTGAGTGCGGATTTGGGGAGGACCTGGGACAAGTTGGGGAAGGGAAACTCTGAATATATTATATGCAAGGTTTTTATCAATTAAAAAAAGAGAAAATAAATTAAAATACTTTAACTGTGAAAGCCTTCAGTCAATGATACACAAAATAATAGAAAAAAAGCTAGAATGCTTTTATGTGAAAAATTATGCATACGTCAATAAATAATAGTTACTGATTTAGAACTATATATAAAACTGATCATTTTATAATTTTCGATAGTTTAATGCTCACTTCCTAATTAATGCTGTAACTGAAAAGATGAGAAATGGTATGGATTTTTAATTTTTCACAACTATGTTCTAAACATTTGATTAATATTTATGCCATGAATTGGACAGTTTATAACTTAAACAGTCCAGAGGAAAGAGGGACTCATTTCATTACTGTGATAAAATGAATACTGCTCAATTATCTGATAAAATAACATCAGCTTAATGATACAAGATATTAAAAGAAAAATAACTATAAAATCCAAAGTGAAAGATGTTTCAGATATTATACATTAAACTCATGAAGTATCCTAAAATGATCTTCAAGAAGGAAAATATACACATATACGAAACTTTATTATTAACAAATCTATCTGGAAACTGAAAATAGAAAATTATAAATTAAAGATAAATCTGATTTAAGAGCCCAGAGCCCAGAAACAGATTCAAAAGCATTCAAGAACAGAAGCATACATATATGGTAAGGGAAAAAAAAACCCAGCAAATGTGGAAAACAGACTTTTAGTATATAGAGCTTAACTCTTCCTCAATCTACACATATAATTAATCACAGATGAAGTGCAAATTTAAATGTTGCCATGGCAAAGAAAGAAGAATTGTAAAGAAAAACACAGGGCAACAAATAGAGTTACAAAAGCAACAGACAGCAGAGGGAGGGAGATATTTCAGAAATACATAATATATATCATATACGATACCTCATACTCATATTATATTCAGCACCCAAATTAATAAAACACACAAAAAACAAACACAGGTGAGTCAATAGAAAAATGAGGAAAAAACTTAGATACCCACAAGATATGACATTGAATGGCTATCATATATGAATCTACAGAGATATAAATATTGACTCTAGCCAGGATGTAGAATATTAATGCTCATATTGTGTTAGTAATAATAAAAGTGGTACAGTTTTGGAAAATTATTTAGTAGCACATACTACAACTCAATATATATTATTACATATATATATATAAATATATATTGTAATATATATATATGTATTCTGACTCTTAAGTAGAAAAATATATATTTTTTCATTTTTATGATATGAATAAAAATATTCAGAGTCTGTGCATAATTCAATATACAAGTTTATAAGACTAAATAGAAATATGGCAAAGACACAAGAATTGAGAAAGAACTACTAAATAACAGCATAAAGACTACCATAAGGTTAAACAACAACAAAACAACAGAAGTAAAGAGTATATACTTTACAGTTTTATTTAAAAGTAGAAACTGTAAAACCAGGATAAAAATTAGGAGAGCAGTAAATCCATGGTGGAGGAGAAGGCTATGATAGCAAGGGAGAATGGTGGTTTCTAGGGCCCTGCTAACTGTTCCTTTGTATGTTTGTTTAAAATGTTGAAGTCAAGAACATGTGCAGTGTGTACCAATTTACCATGTTTAACATAATATGGAAATCTGAATGAATGAAACATACGCACATTTATTAAAATAACCTGCCAAAAATGATTTGAATTACAGCATAAATAAAATTAAAGAATAACATCAACTCACATTATCATCAAGCTGAGCTGAGACTCGACAATGTTCAGGATCTGAATCAGTCTTCGTAATTAAAGGAGGTACCTAGACATTTAAAAAAGAAGGTGAACACAGCAACACTGCAAAATATCCTAACACCATCATAACCCAAAACAAGCATCAGAATTTGATTTGATTATTGGTGCAATGTGTTAACAAAGCTTAATGTTCTATATTCTGAACTTAGCACACCCAGGAGACAGAACTCCAATCTTCTTTTAAAATCTCTTAAAAGTAAGTTAGTTAGTTTGAGCAATTAACTATTATTTGATAAGGGGAAGAAGGAAAGAAAAACTAGAATCAGCTGAAACCCCCTGCAACACAGGAAAAGCTGCTATGACCATGTATGGCCTGGGAAAGTCAATGGCGTCTCTGGGCCGGGTCACATGAGTGACCATCAGTGCTGACAGACACATCAATGTTTCACGTTCACAGTTACAGCTAAGGACAAGCAGCCCTGAAAGGATAATGGTGGACGAAAAAGGAACTGCCTCTACACACAAGAAAATCTGCCTTCAGTAAATCTGTCTGTGCCATTCAGACTCAGATGAAATTAGCTATGACACTCTTCTATAACTCAAGTTTTAGGTTTATGGTTTATCATTTACAGCTTTGATGGCATCCTTGCAAAGAAAAAAAAAGACTATGTCAAAATTCTTTTACAAGTGTAAGTTGGAAATGCAACAAATGTACTTAGTCCAATCCCATTATCAAGAAATCAAATAAAACTGCTTCCCAGAAACTTCTACACCACCCAAAGGTATGCACACTAAGGAAAGGTGGAAACACTGGTCAGGTGAAAGACTTCTTACTTTGATGTCATGAGCCTTTACTGTTTGAATAAGGAGAAATTAGGCTTTATATTTCAGTATATGTTAACTATAACTCATTTGCAAATATAATTTATTTGCATAAGAATCTATACTATTAAAGAATCAAAATAGCCTAGTGCAATAAACTGATAAAAAATATTAACCTTGCTAATTTTAAATATGTATTGTAAATGAATTTGTAAAATTCTACTGATGAATGAAAGGATTTTTAGTATCAGTTTCTGACATAAATTTGTCCTTTTCAACTTTTCTTTTTTATGAATATAAGTCTGAAAATTCTGGAGAAGAAGCTCACTATATCTTAGGTGACATAAAAACAATTTGCTTTAGAGGCCACTGGAGATGTCTTTTTACCTTAAAAAATGACTGCTTTATGTCTTGCCCTAATCTCTCTGACATTCTGCCCACGTTGTCCGACATTTTTGTCACTCCTTCTGCCAAGCTATCAGGAAGGGATTTAACTGCATTTGAAACATTCCTCATAGAGTTGCGAAGTGGATTTACAAAAGTGTCCATCTAAAGTGAAAAAGAAGTTATACTCAGATCAGTTCCAGAACTCAGAAGCCTAAGAGAACACAGAGTGCAACCATGAGAAGATAAAATGATTTTTCCAGTCAATAACATGCCATTCTCTTAAAAACAAACACAGCAAAAAACTGTTGACATGGTATACATTAAAACACATCTTAATACACACATAGACAACTTTAAAATTTGACTGAGGAAGATACTATTAGGTTAGGAATATAAGCCTTCACTGTTTGCTTATTTAATTCTGAATACCTTCCCAAACAAAACTTGATACAAACAGAATTAACTATTCTATATTTTCACCATAATCCAAAGAAATGGTGAGACATTTGCCAGAACATGAGACATCTGCCAAAAAGCGACAGAAGACAATGGTACTTAGAAAGAAAGAGAAGTTTGCTACAAACTTCAGTCAGCAAAGTGAAGCGTAGAGCCATAAGCCTTTTGACATTAGACATAGACCTAGAGTTACAAAAGGCAGTTTTCCTGCTGGATTGTGGATGTGCCTTGGTCCAGTATTGCCTCACTATGCCCCTAATCCTCTCTCTTGGAATGCTAATGTACATTCTGTGAAATTGTATGTTGGAAGTATGTTACTTGCTTTTGATTTTTACAGAGGGTTACAGTAAAGAGATTAGAGACTTAGAACAGACTTTGGACTTTGTGCTGCAGGGCTATGGGGACTATTAAGCAGACTAAATGCATTCTGCATTATGTATGGCCAAAAGCCTATGGGAGACAGTGGTAATACTCTTGACAACTTGGTCACCAGTTGGTGGAACTGTCTGGGAAGGATTAGGAACTATGGACTGAAAGGTAGAGAAAATTTCAACTCTCAAATATATCATAATATTCACTAAGGAGAACTCCACAAGCATAGGGACATGTTTTGAGGTTTAAAAAGAGTTACATCATTAAGTGTGCTATCTGCCACCTACTTGCAGATCAGGATATAAGCTCTCAGCTCCTGATGTCATGAACTCTAGCCCCCTGAAACCACACGCCACAAATAAACTCTTTCAAATAAAAGTTGCCTTGGTCATGGTGTTTTGTCACAATAGAAAAGTAACTGAGACAGACAACCAATAAAGCAGATATGCTTTATGGAATAGTCGATGTTAGTCAAGAACACACAAAGAGAATTCATTTGTTCGTTTGTTTCTTTGTTTTGTTGTTCAAGAATAAGTTTCTCTGTGTAGTTCTGGCCATACTGGAACTCTCTCTGTAGACCCCGCTGGACCTGGAATTCAGAGATCTGCCTGTCTCTGCCTCCTGAATGTGGGGATTAAGGGCCTGCACCACTATGCCCAGCTCGGCATGTAGAATTCTAAGAGATGCCTTATGAGAATATCTATCACATTTAAAACATGCAACTATAGTGAAAATTACAACTCTCAAATCTAAGATACTATTCACTAAACAGAACTTCACAAGCATAAGAGTTCATTCTACAGTATTTCTACAAATACAGGATTTGTTTTAAAACAGACCTAGAAAGGGTTCTGAAAACAGATAGGGAAGAAACAAAATTTTAAACTATGAGGCACAGGAGTAAATCACAGAAGGCTAGCACGAGTACATCCTCAGCATAATTTATAGAGGTGCTGTCTATATAAGTTACCAGCTTTACTCAGTCATCTGTCCTAGTAACATAACATTCAAATTGAATTTTAACTTAACACTTCAAACTATGGCTAAGAATGATTTCAAACCACAACATAACCTTAAGTAAAAAGTTACTTCAATGCATACTGACAGGAGCCTGATATAGCTGTCTCCTTAGAGGTCTGCCAGAGCCTGACATATACAGAGGTAGATGCTCACAGCTAACCATTGAACTGATCATGGGTGTTACCAATGGAGGAGTTAGAGAGAAGACTGAAGAAGCTGGAGGGGTTTGCAGCCCCATTGGGAGAGCAACAATACCAACCAACCAGAAATCCCAGAGGGACCCATGGCTCCAGCTGTATATGTAGGGGAGTATGGCCTTGTCTGCATAGGTGTGAAAGAAGATCCTTGGTTCCATGTAGGCTGGACACCCAGTGTGGGGGAATTCAAGGGTGAGGAGGTAGGAGTGGGGTGGGGGTAGTCAGGGTACATCCTCATAGAAGCAGGAGAAGTGGGGATGGGACAGGGAGTTCCTTGGTGGCAGGCAGGGGGGATTGGGTAAGGGGATAGCATCTGAAATGTAAATAAAATATCCAATAAAAAAAAATTGAAAAAAAGTTACTTCAAGAAGAGAAAGGATGCTTATAGCTTATACCATCTATTAATTAATTGTTGTACAGATTTTTTAAAAAAGAAATTGACAAAATTAATGGTTTCTAAGACATTTGTCAAGGTGAGAAAAGCCTCTCATAAAATGTTTGCAGATTATTTAATCTAATGACTACTTAAAGGAGTCTTTTGAATAATTTAGAATGTAACATGCAACTAACTTGCATGTGCTTCTGCTGATTATTTAAAATGATGGTGCATATTTAATAACAATTTTAGTTTATCTTCAAAGACTTACCAATTCTATTGTTAAAATTAATGTAATCATAAAACAGAAAATAAGGCAAATATCTTCAAGATAGAAAACTGCGACACATCTCTACTGACATGCAAGATTGCATCCTGAATACAATTACTCAAGAAATGAATGAAAATATGCATATATGTGTACATACATACATACACACACACACACAGATACACACACATACTTTACTATTTTAAACTCTATATATGAGAATTTATTTTTAAAACATTCAACTTAATGTTAAGCAGTTTTTATTTTAAAATCATTTAAGACTTCTAAAAAGTTGCAAGGGATTACTGCACACCATCCTAAATTTTGCTTTTGCTCTTATTACTACCAGCAAGCATTTATTACTAGTTATGTGTGCGATACGTTTAAACCCAGAATAAGATCTTACTTGATTTAAACAGTGGCTTAAAGGAAAAAATCCTGACTTCTTGAGAAAACTAAGGTAACAAAAAGAAAAATACACTGACGGTCCCCAGCAGAGATTCTGAGGACTATTTATAAGGCTTCTGTTGATACCACAGCCCTTAACTTCAAGCCTGGCCTGGAATCATATTTTAAATTAACTTAAACAGTTTAAATAAGCAGTTCACCCAAGATGTAATAATACTTTCAGAAAACTTCCTACTTAACATTTTTCTTGTCTTTAATTCAACTGAAACACATTTCCTCCCAGTAAAATACACTACCTACTCAAAGTAATACAAAGCTTGTAACCTACCTCAGGGCAAACTTTTCTTAATGGACTACTTTAGAAGCTTGATTGCTTGTTTTCTTTCTTTCAAGCTCCACTAGATTATAATGTAAGCTTGTATATAACATATGATGAATCAGCCTGTTCCGATGTTTGCCTTGAAAGCTATCTTATACTAAAGACAAGTTAGGTTCACTCTTACTTATGATTAAATCTGTTTCTCAAAGATTCGGCTATTATCTTGCTGTAACCTTAACCACAAATGGTTTGCACTGCTATTCCAGGAAAAGACAGCCATGTCTTTGTTTCAGAAACTTGTTACAACCATCTTGCAACTGTATCTCTGTTTTGAAATGTTTTTATGACTCCCTGTTGTGATAACTACCTATTGTTATGACTACCTTAGACAGACCTTGCAGTCATGATCTTGTTTCAGGAGGTCCTTCCTTATAGCTAACTTGTTATGCCTCTTCTGCTCCTTGTAACCCTGCTTATTTTGTCTGCCAAATCCTCCATTTGGAAGTCCCTTACCCCTCAGCCATAAATTACATCCAATGTTGACCTCCTGAACCCCAAATTTAGAGACAAGCAGCCTGTGTACACAATTTTTAAAAAACATGCTTTAATTAATTGCTTGCATGAATTAATGTGGCCATGATGATTTGGGTCAGTGGTCTTTCATTCGTGTATTTGGTATTAACAGATACACCAGGCAACAACAGACTGACTAAGCCAACATGACAAGATATACTTAACATATCATTTTAAAATATATGTAAATCTATATTTTTCTTTATTAAAAAAAAAAAAGCAAGGAAGATCTAAAGGGGAAATTCAATAATATGATTACCTTTCGAGCAAAATCACCCTTCCCTTTACTGTAGGCTTTGTTCTCAAGGAAATCATAGACACAGTGGGCCAACGCCGGGGATGCCTTCATCATTTCAGGAGCCAAGAGTAACTAATAAGGAAAAGAAGAACTCTTAAGATGGTACGATAGCCTTGATTATAATTCTACTTTATAAAATACTTTAATATTATTCTATTTTTCTGGCTCTGCCGCTTTTCCATATTAGAAACTGTGCTGTTGATATAATACTGCTAAAGTTAAGAGTAATGAAAATAGGATTTTATGATATACATAAATAGAAACTTTCACATGTTATTTTTTAAAAAGATGTTCAAAACATATTGCTTTCACAAATGCAAATGAACTTACTAATCTAGCTTAGCTGCTTCTAAGTCAAGAGTGGTGACATCTGAGTGCAGGAGTTAAAAGTACAAGAGAGGCAGCCACCCTTAAATAAGCTTACAGTGCCACAACTGGGAAACATCGCTTTATCACTGTACACACAGTAACTGTTAGGATCTTAATAAAACTAGAATGTAGTATGTCTGAAATAAAGCGGTTAACAAGTTTTATAAATGCAGCATTTATGCACTACAGTTTCCAGCTGAGAAAGAATGAAGTGACAGCCAGCTGTTCTTCCGTCTCCTCCTGTCCTTTCAATACACAGCAGCAAATTACAACTATTAGTCAAATCTGGTGCTTGTGAAAAACAAACAAACAAACAAACAAACAAACAGCAGCTATAAGCCACAGATATAAATCCATGGTCTCAAACAGGTGGCTTCCTGCTGCAGTCTGCTGAGTCCTTTTGTAGAATACAGGAAGCTAAATAATGGAACACTGTCAACTGGGATGACACCATTCTAAGATATGCAAAAACATTATAACCCACTAACTAGGATGAATCCAAATTTTCATTACTCTACCTGGGTTTTGGGTATTCAGGTGTAAAATGTACCTCTAGGCATTTGACCAGCCTATACAGTATGTAACTTATGTTATTTCCTATGAAAAAATTTTATGACTAAGATGATGGACCCAGGAAACATCTTCAGCTCTATTTCTCTCTTGAACTATTCTGAGAACAAAAATGCACTAGGTTTTGTGGTAACCTAAAAAGCTCTTATGTATTAAATTATAAGCATTTAACTGTTGAGTACACCATACTATATATCTAGTTATAATAATCTGAAACATAGTTACACATACTCATCTAAACACAAATAAGCGTAAGTCTTGAGTGCTTAAAAGAAAATGTCTAAGTCTGACATTAAATACAGAAACAATAAATAAACCACTTAAAAGACTACATGTCAAGTAAGATACATTACTAAAATTAGTTATTCATCCACAATTACAGCCAGCTACAATATTCAGTTGTGTTGTTTTCACTGCTAATAAAACTGGATATGGGTCCACAGGGTCACAGGTATGCTGCACCAAACATAACTCAATAAAGATTTACTCTACTTGTGTGCTGTAACAAATGAAATTTATAGGAAATACTAAAATGGTCTTACCTGCAAATAGGCATTTAAATCCTTTTTCCTCTTTTCTAAAAAATCCCTATCCATATTGTTAAAAGTCTTTTTGCCAGGAAGCTTCAATATGCTTGACAGATTTTCAAACTAGAAGACAAAATACATTTAATACTTTTCTTTTTAAGAGAAATAATTTACACGTAACAATTTTTCTACATGTCAAAGTATCTTCAGAAAATTTGGGGCCATATTTTCTTACATTAAACAAAACATCACAATCACACTGTCCACAAAGCCCAAAATACAGTTACCCTTTTTATCATAAAAAATTGGCCATTGAGAATACAGATGGATAACTGATGAAAATGGGCATTCAGCCATATCAAGTTTCATTTTGGTGTTCTAATTTTCAGATTAGTCAAAGTTTCATAGTCAAGCAGTGCTAATTTTCTTAGCAACCATTTGACTCATGAAAAGAGTATTGAGAAATTAAAATTTCAATCAAAGTTATGACATTATAGCTTGTTAAAATTTAAGGGACTATTTTATTAGTGACTATCACTAATATTAGTGATAATCACTGTAATATGTATCTTTAAAAAGCAGAAAGGACAAATTACCAATTATAGGCAGGAACTGTATTACAACTTGGCATAAATATTAATAACCTTTCCTCATCATCATATGAAAAATAAGCTCATAAATTACACTATGAAAAAGACCCAACAGTCACTGACATGTTATTTTTCGCTTTGTAATGTAAAAAATACAGAGCAATATAGCAGTCTAGGCTTTGCAGACTTAACATTAGGTACAACCATGACAGTAATCTACTATACCTTCTCAAGCACAAGGTGTTACTGTAACTAGTGCTAGAATGACCTAGGGGTAAGGCCTGGCCAACAGCCAGTCCCTCAAACTTTAGGCAGTCTCTTCCCTCTTTCCATATTACATATACTGAGGCAAGTAACGTTTTTTTTTTTTAAATCCTTTATTTAAACTACATTATCTCTGTGAAGAAGAATAATTCCTGCTGCAGACATTGAGAGAGAGAAAGATGGGGAGAGAGGGAGAAAGAGGGAAAGAATATATGAGGTTCAGATCATTTCCATCCCAAACTTGAAGATTCTGACAATTAAATGCAGTGAAAAATCTAATGGATGTTCAGAATGAAAAAGTGAACAAGTTCATTGCACAGCATATATGTAAAACAATAATTTTGCTTCAATTATTATCAAGAAGAAAAAGCAGATAGGAGCAATACATGAAAGTATGGAGTAGTAGTGACAACTCACAAATTTGGCTATAAATAAAGCCAGTCGAAACAGTCTTCATTGAATACAGTATGTAAAATAGTTTCTGGTGTATTTATGAAAGCCTTTAAAAAATTACACTTTGTGGAAGTCAATATCCTATGTTGTTTCCAAAAATAGACAATGTCCTAAAATATTACATATGTATATGATTCAAAATTACCCACTCATTTTTTCAGAGTGCATAGTATATCCTTTCTTACCAAGAACAGGGGTCTAAATGACATTTCCCTAAATTGACATGTGGAAGTCCTTACCTCATATTGTAATTACAATTAATTACAAACATAAAGGTAAGAGGCCATTTTCTTGCCTGAAATAGCTGAGAAGCCTTAGGAGAAGCCAAACCTTTTAACACCTGATCTTAAGACTTTCAGCTTTTGGAACTGCATGAAGTTTAGACTCTTAATAAACCACTAAAAGTTTGATGAAATAGGTTTGAAATTATATTAAGAAAAATTAAAAATGTGTTAATACTCAAACACATAAATTTCTTATTCAAATAATGACCATTTAATATCATCATTGGCATCAGTGTGTTTGTGCATGTACACAGACTTTACAAGGGGAAACAGAAATGCGCAGCATCTACAGAAACATATAGAGTCTGCCTGTCTGGGACACTGAATTTTCCTAGAACTGAGAAGAGTCAGGCACACAGGAAAGACTTAATAAAAATTTCTCAAATAAATGAATGGGCAGATCAGGCCATTTTAAAATGCATGTAACATTAAATTCTCAACTTTTAGTTTATTTATCTTGTCTATAAATATAAGACTATTAAGGTCTTTAAAGAAAACAAATAATTTTTATACTCATTTATTTGGATTGATAAAAAGAACATTACTCACTAAATTAAACAAAATGAAGCCAATTTTAAAATCATTTTCCCCTTTAAATACTGCTTAGTTAACATTTATTTGTGTTAAGGGAAAAAGTTGCAAGTATTTGTACAGAGAAAATGTCCTATAAATTCAAATGCCTGTTAATTTGTACTTAGTGAAACAACTCTTGGCCATATATAATTTTTAAGAACTCGTGATTGGGTCAGTGTTGAAAGAGGAGTGAAATGAGCGTCATGCTTTTAGACAATGATCTAATTGATACAAGTGAGTTCTTTCCCTCCAATGTGAGGAGGAAGCTCATTATTTACAGAGAAACCAAGCTAAACATAAAGAAAAGACGTATTAACACTAAAATGTATCCACGAAAAAACATACCAAAGACAGTATCGTTAAAAGGATGCTGCTACTGAGGCAGATGTCTATCGAGACTTCTTGCTTTTAATCATTTTAAGGCTATTCGTCTATCTTACACTGGCTGCAGAATATTTTAATGAGATTATCATGATACCAACCATATTTTTCTGAATATATTAAGTGAAAAGGATATTTTCTGATTTCTCCAGCATGTCATTTGAAATCTAACTATGTGCTATCTTTTTTTATTGACTTGATACTACTCATACAACTAAAATTTTGAATCAATCAAGACTTTCAAGAGTAAGAATAAGCTCCCCAGATTATCTTTTCCATCTGCTATTGTTTTCTTCTAAGTTAAGGAGAAAAAAAATCCTTATCGAAAATAGGAAGAAACAATTTCTTTTCATTTAACTTTAAAAATCTTTATAATTACTTCTATCAAACAAGATTAAAATTAGTAAGAATTTAAAACAGTATTTGGTTAATGTCAGGTTCATTTTAGACTGTAGTTCAAAACAATTTAAGCAAAGGATCCAGACTTAGGAACACTGTTGGATGAAGGTACCATTCAAAATAAAGACAGCTCTGAATTAAGCCTGCGAGAGCCACCACTGTGTTCAAATGAGACAGAGCAGTCTCCTTTCTTCCCTGCTGCAGAGCGACTCCTCTCACAGCACAGGCTCTTCCTCCCTTCCCCTCTACTCACTTGCCTTTTTCTCACAGACCAGAAATATACTTTCATTTAACTTTCCCATTGGAATTACCATTGGTGCTTTCTTGTGACTTCACAATGAATTAGACTGGTTCGAGTTTCCATATTTCATTTAGTGGTTCACTGCTCAACATCATGCCCCCAAGTATGCCACGTACATAAAATATCAGTATCTTTATATAATATGAACATCCTCAGAGAAATGTAGAATCACAGCTGAACCAAGAAACAGTGTAAAGGCCACAAGCTTGGCCACAAGCTTTACAAACCTCATTACCTGCTCAGTGATTCTCATGTGGAAGTCATGGAAGTCACTATAACGCCGATAGGTTTTCCACATCTCTTCAGTGTTTAGGTTGCGCCGGTGTACAGTGATGGCATATAGGGCATATGTCTTGCCATGATCATTACAAACGCCTGCCACAGCATATGGGTCATAGTCAGCATATACTAGTCATTTCAAACAAAATGAAGAGGAACAAGACACAAAAAGGAGGGAGATGAAGAACAAAAACAAACAAAAAAGACAACATGAAATGAAGAATTTGAAATGACAGACTGAGACAAAAGAACAGCAGCAAAGGATAAAACAGACTCCTATCCTCTGTGCACACATGCTTATGGTATTATAAATGATGACTACAACATAAAACATCCTCAAAGTTTTATGATGGCACCAACCATGAATTGGTGTCTACACTGAATTCTCTTCCCAAGAGCTTTTATTCATTATCAGCGATGTTGCCACAGCATTGCTCACAATGAAACAGTATAGTCTCCTAAATTTTTTACACCAGGAACCCCAGAAACCAAACAACAAGCTTTTATCATTCCTTTACATTTAACTAAAACCTGATCAACTAAACAACGACAAAACAACCACAGGGTAAAGATTATCTCCTGGTAATTCTATTCTCAGATAACATTGAACAATTCGCAAATGTACTTTACACTGGGAATTTAGCAACAGCAGGAGAAAAAAAAATTCCACAAAATTTTTCCACATACGAAACAAGCCAGGGAGCCTTTAAAAGTGAAATATTTTCTGTTTCTGATCTTGCTACTCTTAGATAAAGAGAGCTCTCTGAATTAGGTTCTTGTCTTTCTATGCTTGTTTTCCATTTCATAATAGGGCTAGTGGTTTTCAACCTTCAAAGCTGTAACCCTGTAATGTGTAGTTCCTCAAGTTGTGTTAACACCAAACATAAAATTATCTTGTTGCTACTTCATAACTAAAATTCCAGTAGTTATGAAGCATAATGTAAATATGTGATATGCAGAATATATGACATGAGACTCCTATGGGCACTGTGACCCACAGGTTAAGAGCTACTGCTCTAGGTCTACAAAACCTTGTTGCTTCCTTTTGATATCTATCAAGTGTGTGTATGCATGTAGATGAGCAAGCATGTAATAAGCATGTGTGTATATGCACGTAGAATAATACAATATATCAACATCAGGTATCTTTCTCAGTGTCTCATAGAACTTGGAGTTGTCCACAGAATTGACTAGACTAGTTAACCAGCAAGCCTGAGGGACACTTCTGTCTCTACCTGCCCAACACTAGGTTCACGGGGGCAGGCTGCAGTGCTGGGATTGCACATGGATGCTGGGAACTAAATTCTGACACTCATCAACTGAGTCATCAGGTTTCCTCTAAGCCTAGGGCACCTATCTACTTCGTCCGTCAGCTACTCTATCCTATTGCCTTATGTGTGTGGCAGACATCATGGCGTGTACCCCAAGGTCTTAAATAGGGCACTCATCTTAATTTCAATCATTGCATTTTTTTATATTACATTTTTATGGTCCTTTTTGTGTTTGTCTGAGAATTTATTTTTCTGCATAATTTTCAACATATTTAAGTACTATTAAGATTATCATTTCTGATTTCTCAAAAACACCACTTTTCCTTACTGTGACTCTTATTTCTTCCTGGAGCTGCTCTGTAAATGTCACTTTCCACCTTAGCCATCTGAGTGCTGTGTACTTATGTTGTGACACCAGCAGGACAGCTGGTACCACTGTGTGCAGCTTTCACACAGTCAGCCCTCCCAGAAGCAGCCAACTGAGCACTGGGAACACTTTTTAATGTGCTTGTGCTAACGTGTACAGACTGTTTTCCTTTCTCTATTCTCTAGTCAACATGTTCTCTAGTAATCAACTGTTTATACAGCATTTCACTGCAATGGGCTATATGACCATTCTAGAGATGACTCAATGTGTATGGGAGGATATGCATAGGATACATATAAATACTCTATAACTTTGTATAAAAGAACAGAGCATCTTTGCTATCTGAAGAGGTTTGCAAATTCATAGCCCATGACTTCTGAAGAGAAGCTGTATTACCTGTCTGGGTAGAGACCATGGGGTACACGATAACTAGAGACAGTAAACGGCAGTGACCCTCAGGTTAGACACAAACTGAGGCTTCGCCTTTCTGTGGATATTGGATACAGTTCCCTACTGTGGTCCTCACAGCCTTCAGTCTTTACACCTAAATCTGTAACAAGTTTCCTAGTTCCTGCTTCATGTCAACCTGTTCTTTATGATACTAAGTTATAAGTAAAGAACATAGTTCTGCTTTTTCTAAACTTGAGGGCATAAAAATGTCACCAAAACCAAAAGAGTGGTCTTCCCGTTTCTATCTCCTTCACGACCCAGAACTTCGTCTTCCTCACAACCCACTGTGCCTGGACACTGCTTCAGCTATTTCATAACACGGCCATGTGTGGGAGGCTTTGTGGCTGCTTAGACTATATTAGCCAAAAGTCTAAAAATGATACACTGATAGACAGCAGTGATCTGTAATTGTGAATACAAAAAAAGGGGAGAAGGTTTAGATGTAAATGCTTTACTGTCTTCTAATCAACCAGCAGAACAGTTTCTCTGTACTTCCTTAGTAAATTATTTCAATAACATAAAAAGTAGATATCTATATTAGCAAATACACATGAACTCATTCTAACTATTCACAGTAACTTTTCAAAAATTTGCACTTCCTACTTAAAATTTGCTTTTCTTCCTCATATATATATTACCAATATTTTTGTTTGGCCAAATATAAGTATACTGATGACAATATTAATAATAAAAATACTTTGGTCATCACATCTTACACACACATTTTAGCTCTATTCACTAACATTTTACTGTCAACTTTTTCAAACAGATTCAAGCAGATAGAATCATAGACACATTTTTCATCAAGTTAAAAGTTTAGCTGTTCTAAGCACTGTTGACAGATCAATAAATGGTTTTATCAATTTTGATCAAGACATGTTTGGAAAAGATGCCAATTAAGTATCTCACCATAACTACTCAGTAATAAGGACAGGGAGAACACCAAGGTACAGAGGAGAGAGATTGTGTATTAATGCACTTTGAAAAAGAATCACCCAGACCTGTCACAAACTGTTAGGGAGAAGAGCCTACCCAGGTACATGTACATCAAGAAGAAAAATGAAGTTAATGTTTTCAAATACAGATAACAAATAATTTGATTTTAAAGGAAGAGAAGAAGCTACAGTGTATCATAAATTTTAAGAAGATGGAGACAGAACTAGAATATTTTGTTTTAATAAGTCCAGTGTTACTCACAGAAGTCATATATACATGACTACGTAAAAAATTAATTTACCAAATTTAAAACAACTTCATCCTGCTAATCACAAGTAACTAGTCAATATTTTTAAGTAAGGATTTCTCGATGAAAGAAGACACTAGAGGTCATGGACCAATCTTCAGTAACAGAAATGTTGAAGACATGAGATCATGAAGCAGCATCCAGTTGGAAAATGTTTAATAAGCACCCATACATGATGCCTGCCATACATAAGCAATTGCTAGTGTAATTAGATAGACCTATAGCTATCCCACAAGATAGACATTTTTATACAGGTTCCTCTTGACAAATGAAGAAATTCCAGTAGAAACCTCACAGGGCTCATCTATCTGAAGCTAAAGAATGAGCAGTTTGAGTCTAGGCAACTGTGTTTTAACCCTACTATATAATGTTGCTTCCCCAGAAATTCTGTATGTTTGAATGAGAGAAAAAGCAATTTATCAAAAAACATTTTGACTTATGCTTTCACGTCTTAAAAAAAATAGTATACTGTTGAAAAATAAAGCGACTAGAAAATCAGAACAGCCTAAAAAGAGATTAACACCAGAGATATGGACATGAATATCATCTTCTAGACATAAATTTTAATATTCTTAAGAAATTAAGATTAATATATGAATGGACATCCTTAAAGTTAGAAGAAAAGCCGTCAAAGAATGTGGAGAGACTTTCAAATCTTTAAAAATTTATGGAAGGAAAAAGTAAACAATTACGTCAAAAATTAAAAGAAAAAAATAACAAGACCTCTACTTTAATTAAAAATGTGCTCTCGAGTGACTTCTAAGAGGACAGTAATAGGTATATTCACTACATACAAAAGGTGAAGAAACAACTGACAGATAACTTAGTCAAGAAGTCTAGCAGACAAAAGAATATAAAAAGCATCTCTAGTGCCATTGAAAAATCACAAGAAAACAAAGCTACTTTAAAAAATGCAGATTATTTTAAAACTAGACTTAATATCAAAATCTCTTTTCACTATGTAACATGTAAACTAAGTGAAATTTAATGCATGTAGCTGTATAATTCAGCATGTAGGTATAGCAAAAATATTTCTATATTCTGGTATAAGTGAGAGGTCAGGGAAGAAAACTGTAATTTCTAATACTCGCTAACATTATTAAGCTGATGGTCATGATAAGGATTTTATTTTGTGTTTATTTTTAATGGTATCTACCTATCTATCTATCTATCTATCTACTATCTTCGCCTAGTGCAGAGTCCTAGGTTACTCAATCCATTAAAATACAGGTGAGATTCTGTGAAGAAAAAGGCCAATGCTATCTGCCCTTGGTATCTATGCCAACACTTGAATGCAGGAAAGCAAACACAGATCAGAGATCTCCATAAAAAAGAGCTGGTAATTAGGAAATTAATTAACAGCAACATTCAAGCACAAAAAGGAAAAGACTGGCTTCTAGAAGGATTTTTAAATGCTAACAGGCGCAACCTCAGAAAAGAAAAATATCCAAATATACAAGCAACCAAACATAACAGGACTTAATGAAGAATGTGCCTCAAGAAAAAAAAAATAGAAACTATAATCATAAAACAAATTGAATGCAAAAATGAATGTAAAAATAACAGGGATATTACAACAATCCATATTTAAAAGTAGTGGTTTCTACAAAGTCTCTTACCAGTGTCTGAAATGTAGGCATGAAGTTGTACAGAATCATCAGAAGTCACACTTGAAAGGTCATCTAAAGACTTTAAGAAAGAATTAGGGAACAAAATATTACAGGAAAAATATTAAGAATTGTAAACTACATGTCCACCATTCATATTTCCTCACCTACCTTTTACAGTACGTGCTCCGCCACCCCACCTTTTACTATCATGCTCTGAGTTACACTGAAGGAGCTAGGTAAGAAAGCTCTATCTCTGTGCTCCTGGCACTTGGGAGCCTTAGCACATAAATACTATCTACTTTAGATGCACATGTCTCATCATCTTGTCTCAGATCCCTAATACAATACTGCAAGTTATTAGTGAGTGTAATGTAAATGCATTAAATGCAGTCATCCATTCAACACAAAGTCATATTATACAGCAAATACATTCCACAAAGAAAACTAAAACAAGTCTTTACTGACAACTAATGTTTAAGAAAAACAAAACGTAATTCAGTACTTCTCTGGTCATGTTTCATAAAAGAATCAGATAATTAGGTCTAGCCCAGGTGAAACCTGAACAGATGTCAGCCATAACAACTACTTGTTCTTAGATTCCCGTTTTCAAGATAAAATGGCATTAATAACAGTTTCACACACTTCAAGTCACTGATTTCCAATACAATTTTTGATTTAGTGATTTTTGGATCTTTCTTGTAAAACCTCCTACTTCAGAGATGGGGCAAAAATCGTATTTTACAGTTTAAACATTTGTATAAATACTATAAATATGAATATTCCAATATTTAATATATATATTGAAAATTATTGCTAACACTCAAGGCTCTAAAAGAAATTTCCTTTCATATAACACTCTGAGACACAACAAGTAAATATAAATGATTTAGGGAAGTACTTAACAATTATAAAGAATCTTGCACGCCTATGGCTGATTTGCTTTAGTTGTTTTGTAAAAGTTATACTCTACATAAGAAAAGCTCATTTACTTAATGGGGTTATTTTCAAATAAGAAACCATATAGTTGCCAGAACAAGACAATAAATCTGTAAACACAGTACAAGTCACAATAAACCTCTGAAATTATTAAAGAAAATTTAGAAGAAAGGGAGAGAAAAGTAGAAGTTTTGAAAAGCCATCAATTATCCCTCTGCCTTCTCTATCTAACTCAGCTTCACTATGAACTAAATAGTTCACAGAACATAGTATTTCATGAAATAAGTTATGCAATGGCAAGAGCAGAAGTATAAGAGAAATAATGTGTTCATTATTGAACAGAACATCAAATAATACCAGCGGAGTTTATAGGCTAAAAACCTAACATTCTTAATTCTTAATCTAAATAATAAGATATTATTGCTATAAAATTCTGAATAAAAAACATTTTTTGTAAAGACCAAATTGTTTTGATGCACACTTGAATAGATATGTGGTACTTTAAATGAGAACATCCCCCATAGACATATGTTTGCATGTTTAGTTCCCAGATGGTAAACTGTTTGGGAAGGAGCAGGAGGTGTGGCCTTACTAGAGGAAGTGTGTCTCTGGGGTAGGCTCCGAGGTTCCAAAGCCCACAGCAGTCTCTTTGTCTGAACATCAAGTTGTTGCTCTCAGCTACTTCTCCAGCACCATGTCTGCCTTTTTGATGCCCCAATTCCCCTCATAATGATAATGGACTAAGCCTATGAAGCTAGCTAGAACCAAGCCCTCAAATGTTTTCTTCTAAGAGTTAACTTGATCATGGTGTCTCTTCACAGCAGAGACAGAGCAACACAACAGTAGCTAAGTTGTAAGCTATCCCAAAAACTTAATATTTCTTTTGAAAGTAGTAAGAGGGACTGGAAAGATGGCTCAGCTGTTAGGAGCATTGACTGCTCTTCCAGAGGTCCTGAGTTCAATTCCCAGCAACCACATGGTGGCTCACAACCATCTGTAATGGGATCTGATGCCACCTTCTGGTGTGTCTAAAGACAGTGACGGTATACCCACATACATGTAATAAATAAATAAATCTTTAAAAGAATAAGAAAGAGAAGTGATTTAAAGTTTTAAAGATAATAAATAGATGAATATAGTATTTTAAAATGATGAAATTTAATTGCTTTTTTTTTTCTTTTAAAGATATGGTCTCACTGTCTTTGGTCCCTAGCTGGCAGGAACTCACTGTGTAGATCAGGCGGGCCTCCAGATCTCAGAGGTCTCTGCCTCCAAAGTGCTGGGGTAAACAAATCAATTCCTCTATAAAATGCAACTGCAGCTATGCAGGTATGATCTAATCACATTTCTTAAAAATGAAAATTCAAAGTCACATATGTCTTTTAAAGTTTGTAGCCACATTGTATTTTCGTTCTAAGGAGTAAACTGAGGCTTCTAATATCATTTATTTACATATATCAGAAACCTGTCACATTATTTTCAAGTTACGTTACTAATTAAAGTATCCATAACTAGTACTTACCAAATTTATGCTTCCTGTAGGAGATCCATTAAAAGACTCTATAAAAGAAAACTATAGCTTAATACATAGAAGCAAAAAAAAAAAACTAACAAAAATGTATAAAACTGTTGTTTATGTAAAGTTTAAATATCAATAACACAGGTCATATACAATCAGAGCAACAAAATTAAACATCTAACCTCTTAAATCTCCAAGCCAATTAGGCATTCAAATAAAAATATGCACCTGACAGGTGCAAACAAACTAACTCACATTCAAGTACCAAGTAACAATTAGTAGTCATTTTTACACTTCTCCTCATGTATCATTATGATATTGTTTAATGCAGTGCAAGCACATGCCAAGAACTCAGAGGTGAAGCCTATTAGGTAACTACAGAGACTAAGAAATGATATAAATAGTATCAGTCTTCAGTAGAGATACAAATACACTGGTTTTTACAGAATCTAATAGTTCATTATTTCCTCGTAGAACTGGCATAGAAACACTAAAGCCTAGATTCTGAAGTTATTTGTATGCAATGTTATTTAAGTAAGCAATGATGAAGAGAAAACAGTTTTGTTTGTTTTGTCTTTTAAAGAATGTTAGGAAAGTAGCTGGGCCTGAAGATGGGTGCTTGTACAGAGACAGAGACATCGTCAGAAACAGAGAAGGAGAAAACAAGTACAAGATGCCATGAGACTCCCTGCTTTGTAAGCTGACTTTGAAATTATATAGATGTATGTTTTAAGCCTTGGAAGAAAATGTAAATGTTAGATAAGAACAAAAAATACATAAATGAACAAAAGCAAAGCAGTCAAAGATTATTAACAAGCAGTAATCTGCTATTCTTTCTCCTTGGGTTTTATTATATATCTAAGCAAATTAAACTTTCAATTAAGGTGTCTCTGCTAAAAAACAAAAGAAAAGGCTACGTTAAAATACTATTCACATACAGCTTAAAGTTAATGTACTCTTTCCAGATCTTATTAAATTTATAAATTTAATTTTTTAAAATGAATCTTCAAAAAGACTGAATTACTGGTATAATTCTGAAGGGGGTAGCTGGTATAGCCCTCTATTCTAGATGATGTTATACAAAGAACATTTCTTAGTTCATCAAACCTCAGACCACATCAAAAAAAAATACAGAAAATTTCATCTAGGAATTTCATCTTTGGTTTATAATCAGATAATTCTTAAAGTAAATAAATATGTTGATTGTCCTTCTTGTGGAATTAAAAGTTTCCTACTCATTCTGTGGTCTGGCAACCTCTTAAGCCTTGCCAGCTAAGTAAAGTTTCAAAAGTAAGAGAGAACTAAACGGAAAGAAGACAACTTGAGATGCTAGACCTGTGGTCTAGAATCTAACTATAAGCTGACAGACATTTAAAATCATTTCCTAACATACTATTTCTCTAATATAATTTGGCTTTCACAACTGAATATTTTCTATGTGTAAAATGTATAAAAATCTACCAGTTAAGATAGGAAAGTATTAGAAAGCAATGAAACATCCTAAAATGTGGGCAACTAGATATCTTAGCAGATTAAGGTTGATGGCTACAAATAGAAATGAGATGTGATCTGCCAAGTAGTACCTTGACCTTAAAAAGATCTCTCTCTCTCTCTCTCTCTCTCTCTCTCTCTCTCTCTCTCTC